TCTTATTCATTTGAAAGTTATCTTAGAAGATACTGGAATATAAGGATGTGGAAGGCCAGCTGAGGGGAGCCTCCAGGATGCAGTTTCCATGGGGTTATCATTCACAATTGGGTAGGACTTTGAGGTGATACAATTGTTTGGATTCTAGTCATATTTCAATAAGTAATCCCTCACAGTGCTGTATAAGGAAGTTCAGTAAACTCATTGATTCACTTAGTAAAACTTGGATGGAATTGGCTCTTGGATCTGTCACTAGAACGCTAGGTCAGATGATGAGATATTTATGCACATTATCCTAGGAAAGTTAACTCAATGAAATATTGTAATGATGTGTCCTCGAAAACATTCACCACAAAATACAACTTGTTCTCAGGTCACCAGTGAAACTTGGAGGAGTTTACTTCAGATTTCAGCCTCTTCTTCACCAGAAGTATGGGAACTTCTAGATCTTTTATCCCTTAGACTTTGTAATTGGTTGTTCAGCATGGATTCTCATGGTAAAGAATGTATCCTAACAGGAAATTTCAGTTCCTTTCCTTTGATTTTTTAGTAGGTTGGTTGTGGTGGTTTGAATAGAACATCCCCATAGGCTCAGATATTTGAATGCTTGGTTCCCTGTTGCTTGTGCTCTTTGAGTAGGTTTAGGAGATGTAGACTTGTTGGACATAGTATGTCACTGGTGGCAAGATTTTAGGTTTCGAAGTTTCCCATCATTTCTTTGCTCATCTAGCTCCCTGCTTGCAGTTTAAGTTGTGAGCTTTTAGCTCTGTGCTTCAGTCACCAAGCCTGCCTGCTGCCACGCTTTTCTGCCAGGATGATGATGCACACGTATCCCTCTAGAACTCTAAGTCTGAATAAACTCCTCATTCTCTAACGACTTGGGTATTTCATCACGGCATTAGAGAGCAAAGTAAGATAGCTTTTAAACAAGACCTGTATCTAAAAAATCTGATAACCCTAATAGAAGTTGCTTATTTCATAAAGAAATAGAATATATGTAGATTAATAAATATGATATATGTATTAATCTACATGGTGCTAAAAGGTCTCACAAGTGCTGAAAAAATGACTCAATTAGTCAACTGAGTGCTGTGCAAGCATGAAAATCTGAGTTTGATATCCAGAACACAGGTAAGATTAAACTTAGGATGGCAGTACATGATTATAACCTTTTCCTCTGTAGAAGCAGAGACAGGAAGGTCCCTAAGGGTCACTGGCTAGCTGGCCTAGCTAGATAGAGGAGCTTCAGGTCAAACTAAGGTGGATAGCAGCACCCAATGTTAACTTCAGTCTTCAACACACTCATGCATACATGTGCATGTGCATCTGCACACACACAACTGTGCTGGCACAAGCGGAGTGGGGAAAAGGTGTTTTGGTAAGTCCCTCTAGGCACAGCATAGGTGATAAAGGTAAATCAGCTCATAAATGATTCAGAGGTCAGTGAACTAATAATCAGGTCAGCAGAGAGGGAGGCTGGGATGGAAGTGGATGGCATGATCTGTGGAATGTTCTAGAGAGAAAGTGCAGAAGTGCTTCACCTTCAGTGAGTGACGTGCAGCTGGTATCCCCAGTGCATTGTGGATGTGCAGCATTGGTTGAGGTGCAATCAAGTAAGTGCTGACAATTGTACCCTGAGAAGGGACACACAGTGGCAGTGTGCCTCCGGGGAAAATACACAAAGGAAGAAACACTCCATTTCCAATGGCAGTTTTGACCTTGCATTTTCTCCCTGTGTCAGCTTCTCTAATCGTACAGTATAAAGTAGAGGCATTTTATTCTGAGCCTATAAATCTGCAAATACTGTCTAATACCAGACACAGTAAAGGACTTATGACTCAAACTCATGAGTGAATCTGAGTTCCTGGGATTAGAGGATTTTAGTTGGCTTCTTTTTATTTTTGTTTATTTTGTAACACAACTACCAAAAGACAAAGAAAAGAAAAACTTCACACAACTCTCCTAAACCTGAAGATGATGCTTAATCTGATTGCTCCTCTTGATTGTTAATAGGATCCAGAGTCACGTGAAACAAGATTGAGGGCATGTCTGTGAAGAGTTGTCTGGAATGGGTTACTTGAAGTGTGAAGGCCTATTCTAAATGTGGGCCACACCATTTTCTAGACTAAAATCCCAGACTGAGTAAAAGAGAAAGTGAGCTGCGCCTCAGTATTCTTCATTTTCTGTTTCCTGACTGAACACAATGTCACAAGCTGCCTCAAGCTCAGGCCACAATGATTTCCCTGTCGTGATTGATTACATCCTTAGACTATGAGCCAAAATAGAACCTTCTTCCTGAAATTTCTTTTTTATGTATAAAGTAAAGTAATTAATATATCCCTCTCCAAAGATGTTCTGAATTTGTTTCCCTGAAACTTTCATCAACTGTCTACTGCATCAGAACCAGATAGATTGAAGGCTGGTGGTTCATAGAGATTTGTTCTCCATCCAGGACACAAAGAAGATTTATGTGTAGGTCTCTATAATGCTGTAATAAAATTCACTGCAAAGTAAAGAGGTGGATCAAAGGAGAAAGAGGTTGACATCTGACCTGCAGCCAACTTCATCTGACATTTTCAACATGAAGAGCTTACAGTGGTGGAGGAATCTAAAGGAATTCACCACTGTACCCAACCAGCTCTGTGATATTCTGAACTCATGGTCTATATAGTACAGAAGCAGATGCAGACAATGTTCATTCTTTTTCTGAGATTATTTGTATACGTGTGTGTGTGTGTGTGTGTGTGTGTGTGTGTGTGTGTGTGTACAGGAGTACATGTACAATTGCACATGTATATATGGAGCCCAGAGGACAAATTTGGCTGCCATTCCCCAGGCACTGCCTATCTATTTCGTTTAGTTAGTTATTTGTTTCTTTTTGGGTGGTCTCTTACCTGGAATCACCCCAATGTGCTCCAAGGACATTCCTGCCCCCACCTTGCCAGTGCTCTGAATTTAAGACCATGCCACCATGCCCAGATGTTTAAATAACTTAGTTATGTGGGGGCTGGGGATTTAATTCAGGAAGCCATGCTTGTGTGGCAGACACCTTACTGAGTGAACCAGCTCCCCAACCGTATCTTGCTGGTCTAAAACAAGGTTTTGATTAGACCTCAGATTTCACTGGACTGGTCCTTACCAGTAACAGTTTCAACAGTGAAAGGTAATACATTATGCAAAGGGAATTGTAACTGGTCTGAGAGAACCATCACAGGAATCCTCAGTAATAGTTGAGAGGCATTTGATGAGGAGAGATAGAAATACTACAAACATTAAAAATCAAGGACTGTCTGTAATTCAGCCCAGACTCAAAAGTGGACATGCTGCATGCACATTTACATAACTGTAAAGTGAAAACCGAACAGCTTGCTGGAGGCTGGAGATGATGTAGACCTAATAAACTTGAGAACTTAGACATCACCTCATATGACTAATCTGGTGTAGGAGAGCACTAGACATGCAGTGTTCAACGGACTTGGGTTTGAATTTGACAGAGGTGTATAACATTAGACAGTCATTTAACTCTTCTGTACCTGAGATTTGTCAACCTCAAGGCACACATTTTTATGGAATATCATGATTATTGTGAGAATTATATGATCACTAAGTCAAAATCTATAAGTAAAATAAAAAAAAAAACGTTAATTTGATGTTGAAGGTCATTTTAAAAATGGTGGAAAATGCACTAAAACATCATTGAAGGAAAGAGAAACCATCAATATTGCTGTGGGATGATCTGTATGTCAAATTACTCTGAGTGGTCAATAAATAAAACACTGATGGCCAATGGCTAGGCAGGAAGTATAGGCAGGACTAACAGAGAGGAGAAAAGAAAGAACAGGAATGTGGAAGGAGTTGCTGCCAGCCACTGCCATGACAAACAGCATGTGAAGATGCTAGTAAGCCATGAGCCACGTGGCAAGGTATAGATTTATAGAAATGGATTAATTTAAGCTATATGAACAGTTAGCAAGAAGCCTGCCATGGCCGTACAGTTTGTAAGAAATATAAGTCTCCGTGTGTTTACTTGGTTGGGTCAGAGCGGCTGTGGGACTGGTGGGTGACAAAGATTTGTCCTAACTGTGGGCAAGGCAGGAAAACTCTAGCTATACAATATAATTAAAAATCCTTCTCTCCAGGCCCTTCCCTAACATGTGTGTATTTCAAAAGCTAACTCAAGATCTGGGAGATGGTTTGGTGGTAAAGTGCTGGCATTAAAGTGGGAGGACCTGAATTAATCTTCAGAACCACATTTAAAGGCCTGGTATGGTGATAAGGGCTTGTAATCCCAGAACTAGGAGGCAGAGGCAGGCATTTCCAGCCAACCAAGACTACTTGGCTAGTTCTGGGCCAGTGAGAGATACTTTCAAAAAATCAAGGTGGGTAGTAACAGTGGAAGTTGTTTTCTGGCTTTCACACACAGGCAGAAACACACGCATAGACACACACACAAGAGCATCTACACACACACACACACACACACACACACACACACACACGCACACGCACACGCACACGCACATGTGTAGAGTGCAGAGAAAAAGAAAAACTAAATAGCAAATTACAAATTACATTGCATTCCTTGCTTAGAGTGGAAAGTTCAGAATACAAAATGTTGGCACAAACCTTAGTGTTAGTCCTGAATGTAGAAGGGCAGGCTTTTACATTTTTATTTCTATTTTTTGTATATGAGTGTCTTGTTCTTATGCATGTGTGCCCTGTGTGTGCAGAGCTCACAGAGGCCAGAAGCGAGCATCAAATCATTTGGAAGTAAATATAGTTGTCAGCCAACATATGGGTGCTGGGACACAAATCCAGGTCCTTTGGAGGAGCAGCCATTTCTCTTAATTGCTGAGCCATCTCTAAGGCCCCAGGCCTTTTTTTTTCTTTAATGCAGTCCTAATTCCCATTGCTTTTGTTATGTGCATCATTCTCTCTTAGTGGCAATTCTGTGCATCAGACATCTCCCACTGCTGTAGGAAACCCAAAACTTTCCTTACCAATCATCTGTATCTGCATCACAATTGCAAAAGTGGCGAATGTCCAGGCAGCTCTCCTCTAGGCCACACCCACACTGCTGGACACCCGGAACAGAACCGCCCCAGTAAGGGTGCCTTTCATTGGCTCTCCCAATCCACCAGGTGAATGGGGCTCCATCTGAAAGACAAAATGTTTCATAAGTCAGGAGTAAGAGCTGAAAGAGTACAGAGGAGCTCACAGTAGTGTGTGTGTGTGTGTGTGTGTGTGTGTGTGTGTGTGTGTGTGTGTGTATATATACATGTATGGTCTCCCCTACCCCCTGATTTTTACTTTATGTCTTCCATTTTCTCTTTTCTCCTTTATCTCTCTCATTTCTCTGCATGTTTTATATATATACTTATGCACACATACAATTATGAATGTATAAAGGTATTTTTATTAAAAGAACATAGTTAAACACGGATGAATGATAGCATTAAGAGTCAGAGAAATAAACTCAAATTGATAACAAACTAGACAATATTACAACTGAGTTGGTTATATCAGCTTAAAAACATTTAAAACTATGTTTTACAGTTTAGATAATGCATAATAGAATGATTTGACATAGTTTTAGGCAAAATCAAAGGAAATTTTCAGCATACAAAACCCCTTCCTTAGTAAAAAAGTTTTTAAAAAGTCACTTTAAATGGGCCAGTGCCACATGTGTTTTCAGTGACTGGTCATAGCTGAGTGCTATTGCACCAGCAGTCAGTGGAATTAAAAAGAAAACTGAACTTTTACAAGCACTACCTCAAAGAAATAACATATTGGGATACCTTTTGAATGCCAAGATGGTCTACTTTAATATACAGATGAATTCACATATCCATCATGAAAATGAAAAAAACAAAACAAAAAAAAAAAACCTCCCATGGAGTCCAAACTAGAATCATTAGCTGTATGTTCTCGTTCAGCTCCTGTGTGTCATTTTCCTACATCTGTTCCCCAGCATCACCTTGATCACCAACATTACTCTCTCAGGCTTCTTTCTAAATTTTGAATCAGCTTTTAAGCAAACCACACACACACACACACACACACACACACACACACACACACACACACACCTCCATATATATGTGGATGGAATGATTTCCCTTTGAAACTGCCCAGGCTAACACACCACAGTAAGAACCAAGATCAGCCTGTCCTGTGTCTTTTTGTAGATATCCTAGAGGGTGGAAATTAAGGTGAAAGAGAACATGAGCACAGGTGAGAGGGATCCTGACCCACTGAGTTGTTTCAACAATAGCAGAAGCAAAATTATCTTGTGCTCTGACTGAGAGAAGTCATAAACTTTCAAGTTCGTAGACTTAAGGGAAAAGAACCTGTGAAGACCACACCCTGGAGATCTTCAGTGAATTATGATTCACTGAGGAGAAAACAAAACAAAACAAAACCATCAAAATCAAACACACACACACACACACACACACACACACACACACACACAAAAAAAAAAAAAAAAAAAATCAAACACACAAAATAAGAAAACCCTAGCTCAGGCTTCTGATTTCATTATTATGTTGATGTTGTCTTTAATGATTTTGAATACCACAGTAGCGTGTAGCTACCATTCAGAAAATGATAGTGTGTCCCAAACAAGAGTAGGCAAAGATTTGGACGCCCTAGACAGCATCAGCTGGAGAAACCAAACCTAACTTCCATTGGCTGTCTTCCTTTTGTTTTGCAAATGTCGGGTACTTAGAATTTAAAGCAACTACAATTGCAGGCTCTTTTACTCATTTCCAAGTTGTAAAATTTTACTCCTGAGGCTGGGGATGTTGTTCAATGGGCACAGAGTGCTCTGCTTTCTTAGAGTGCAAGAAGCCATCCTGAGTGAGGTAACCCAGACCCAGAAAGACA